AAGGGCCACTTCTATACGTCTCTAAATTGAGTGTGATAATTTGTATTTGCGGCAATTAGTTTTTGCATATCCCAGGCTTCTATCCTAAGGTTGCCTGGAAGAAATAGCTGCGTAGCAATAAGACCGCATGTAACACATTATCTTACTATCTTTATACCTAAGTTACTGTATTGTATTTTAACTCTAATTTTATGTGCAATAAAGAATTTTTCATTCATTTATTCATTCATTCATTCGTTAGTTTTATTATTGATGAATGACTAAGATAACATAATCTACTACATTTAAATTTGAATATTGTCTCTGGTAGAGATATTACGAGCTAAAGTTAGTTATTTAGGTTCAACATTATATCGTTGCCTAATCTGTTCTTTTGGGGATGAGGTAAACTAAAAATAAAATTATTATAATTTCTTTTGTTATCTTGAGCAATGTCTAGAGTGTCTTACTCATTGTTTACGCACATCGAGTAACCAGAAATAAACAGAAATATAGACATGTCATTTTATTTCTTTGAAAACTATTCTGCCAATCATTACGGTGATTGGTCAGCCAGAATTCGAAACAATTGACGGGTGTCGTCAATTGTTCACTTTAAATCGAAAAGTTTAACTTGAGCTTTATTATAATAGACGAAAATGGAAAAATTACATATTTAATATTTAATTACCGATGAAATGTGATTCCGTTTGTTTTGTAATTAGATGTTTTGCTGTTTTTCGCACACCATCGAATGGGACAGCCCCCACAGTTAGATATATTATCTTTATTACAATAAATACAGAATATTTTTGGAGTATACGAAGACGTACACACAGGTCAGTTGTTGGCACTGTACTATTTCAGCTTTCTAATTTGTGATTTCAGTGCAAACGAGAATTGATATTTAAAAATAATATAAGGTCCATTTGCCTGATGAGTTTGCCTTTATCACATCTCTATTTCTGATTATACACTCGATGTTTACGAATGAGTGATTAATTATTGTGACGATTTGAAACGTAATTTACATGGCTATGGAATAAAAAAAAAATTTATTTGAATTTGACACGAGTGCAGCAGTCGAAGGAGGATTATCTGGAGCGTAGCGAGTGGAGGTTTGCGGTCTCTACCGATCGCAAACTTCCATTCCATTAAAAGTAGCGTGCATTTATGACGCATTAGATGACGTTAGAAAAAGAAAAAAAAGCTGGGTATATGCACTCAATATGGAAAGATTAAAATATGGGCTGTTTTATACACCATATGAAAGTTTGTGTGGACATCTAGATCAACTTGCACAAATACGTCACACAGTGCGACCGAATTTCGGTCGTAACTCATTTTGCGTCGTTGGTCGTGTGGCACAAGCTGGACTTTAATATGAAACCGAATGCAGCGTAAATTAAGCGACTTACAACTTCAAAGATTACGCTCATCTGACCTCACCCTTAACGATTATCACGAGTCACCGGTTTACAGAGATGATTAAAATGTCATAACGTGGTAAAAAACCTATAATTAGTGATAATCGTTCACCTTGGCTTCATTTATTCAAAACGTACAAAGAATTTGTATAATAAGTGAAAAGGTAGGACAGTAAACGTATTCCGATGTAGCAATCTAGCTGCCTCGGTAGCGCATAAAACAAATGCGCGTTCGTCACAAAACAAAGAAGTTTAGTTAGTTTACTTGACAAGTAATGTTGAAATGTTTAACTAAGACATGCAGGTTTTTAGCTTTACAATGCAAAAGTGACATAGAACACTGTAATTAACCGTAAACTGCGATGAATAAATTTAAAAACGTTAACTTTAGAGAAAGTTGGAAACGGGCAAGTGTCAAAATTCTTCATGAATGTTTACGAGAAACGGTGCCCTGTACTTGTCTGAGGACATATTGAAAGCCCATCAATGACTTAACACAAATTAGGATTAAAAACATACATATTTATAATAAAAATGGTACAAAATAATGTTTGATCAACAACGTTGCTATTGTGCCGCAGCGCACGGAAAAAGGTAGCGAGGCCTGAAGGTGGATTATAGGCCCCATAACGTCAAATAGGAGCAGAATGACGCGCTCCGTAAGATACACAACAGGGATATGATTTTACAGTGAATTCAAATGAAATGGTTTTGACGTATTGAATATTATCGTGAAGTCAAAAAATATTTCTTATTACGTTTATATACACTCCCGGACACATAATTCGAACCACCACGCATTTTCAGAGTTTCAGAGTTTCTTCCGCTTAAACAATGATTGATCAAAAACTATAAAGCAATTTTGAAATTAGTATACTAAACGCCTTTTCCATAAATCCATGTTGGAAATTTGGATTTACAAAACCGGGGGAAAACTTTGTCTTCGACGATTAGACTACTTCCAAGACTTTAAGACAAAGATGCGAGGTGGCTCGAATTATCTGCCCGGAAGTATATTAAGCGCTAAATTCGATGGCTGCATGAGCCACAAATGCAAATAAAAGCCGTTATCTCTCATAAGTAATAAAATCAAAGTAAAAAAGACTTATTTGACATGTCAAATAATAAAATAAATTATAAACTAATAATAAAAACAAATTTGTTAAATGGGCTTGAGAACCAGCTACAGAGGACTGTAGACTACGTAGATAAATCTACTAAAAATAATGCCACATGCATACCTAAATTCGCATCACAGAAATCTAAATAAATAGGCAATTTAACTGCCTCTATGGTTGAACGGTTACGATTCCCGGGTCGGGAGAAATATTTGTATGGCCAACATTTATTTCTCTCGTGAGTTTGGGTGTAGTTTGTGGTTATCTATGTGTGTGTCCATGGTAGCCGCGACACAGGGTTTCCCTAGTGCGGGGATAATGTTCAGTGTGTGCGTTATTATTATTATATCTATTTTAGACTTTCGCCTCTCTTATTATATTATTACTATTATTAATTTAGACTTTTGTGATAGAACTTACTACACCCTTGATGTAGTAAGGCCACATCTGCAAATGTCATATTTTCAGGAGGCTTAAAGATTCTATGAATAAAAGTAAACATAAGTTTATGCTTAACCACATAAGATTTCACAGATACGAGGATATAATTTGTTTCATGCATACTTCGTATTATTTTTGAGACTTTCATGTGCTAAAAGGGTAACTTTCAGGAAATAATATTTCAGGTTACAACACTCGACTATTAATTAATACTTCACGATACTACCCTAAAATATTTGAATAATAAAAATTGCCATCGAAACTAGCTAGAGAAAACTAACTTCAAAATTACCAAAAGCACTTTTGACGCAAAGCATTTTTCATAATCACAAAACATGTGTATTCATTATTAAAAAAATTAAAAAATTAAAAAGGGAAACAAATTTGTATCAAAATATTGTGATTAAATAACGTCAAGTTTTAGCAGTTACGTATTGTTTAGATTGGACGTAGATTCTCGTTACGTTATTTCATCACGTACTATCGCCCGCGGAAGTGTTTCCTCGAATTATGTCAATCTTGACATAACTTCTCTTTGTGTATGAAGTGATCTGACATTGGACTCAATTCTCTATATTTTTGTTTTGTGATGTAATCTAATTGCATGACATTACATTTAAATTTGCTTTATTGTGGAGTTACTATTTCTAAGTGCATGAATGTGGGTTCTATTCAAAATAGACGTCTTTTAAAATGTTTCATTTTGATCGATGTTGCGAGACTTGGTGAACACAGGAGTAAGGCGATAACGGAATGGTGGCCAAGAAATGGATATAGAAACGTGAGGTGGGTGGACGACATTGTCAAAGTTTCGGGTAGTAGATGGGTGAGACTAATACAGGATCGTGGTGGATGGCACAATCTACGGGAGGTCTACACCCAGCAGTGGGTGAAGTCGGGCGGTGGATGATGATCGCTTGATTATTCTGCCCTCTCTATCATAACTAACGCATCGCGACATTTTTAGCGAAATTGAGTTCGCAATCGATATTTTTATATCTAAACTAGTTTCAGTTTTATTGTTTAACAAAATCAGCATAACTGCCATTTTTTACGCAAAAAATCTTTAGGCATCAATATCTCGAAAGATATTGAAATGCAAATGTGTTAGGTATGAAAAGGAGGGCAGTGGGATTTCTTCAACATTTTTGTATACGAGTATATTACAAAGTGCTTTAAACACAAAGTTATAAAATTTTTTTGTTGTCGATTTTAGATTTCTGAAAACTCATGGTCATGTTGGATAGTGCAATTTAGAACGCATGTGTAATTAATAATTTGTATGTAACTGTGTCAATTGCTATAGTCAGGGCATGAATTTACAGTTAAAATTAACGTTTTAGTATTCAGGTTAAAGTTACGGTATTTGGTGTAGAATGAAAAGGGCGCGTTGTGAATTTTAAAGCTCACATTTTACACCGACTTACCTACTTCAAAACAAGTTTCTCATGTTGCAGTAAATGTGCTACATTGTGACCATGACTTGAGCACTAGCTTGCTAGATTCTTTAAGAAAGCTATTTTTATGTAGAGTTCTTTTTATTAACTTCAAACTTTGAAGTGTGGTTTTAAATATTTTTAAAGACGAACAAATTCTGCGACACACTAATTTTGAAAAAATATTTTTTTTTTATTTTATTTTGTTCTATTTTTGAAAATCTTAGAAGTTGATTGTTTGTTATAGTTAGTATTCAAGAGATTTCAGATTTCATAATTTCCAATAGTAGTGCGATCAGGCCACTCAAATTTTGTTTATCGATAAAATAAATAAGCCTTATATTTTGAAATATTTCACTGTATTTTGATTGTCAAATCAATTTTACTAACAAACTGGGTGTTCGTATCAATATATTCGAGAAAGAATCGTAGCGTGATTTAAACAGTTAAGTGTTTACTTACGTGCAGTAGAATTAACGAGTTTCATAAAAATTATTTTCTGTGTCCGTCAAGTTTGTTCTAGTACTATTATATCAGAGCACTGGTTACATCAATCAATTTGAAGCAAGTTTTAATAGTTAATTGGAAAGTTTGCTTACCAAGGGAGTTAATCGGGTGTTTAGGCGTTCACCCCCAGCTTCCGCTTTCTTCGGCTAGTATTTGCAAAACACGGCTGAAAAGGCAACTTGCACATGAACAAACAATTGACAATTGTTTCGAGACTCGATGTTAAATAGTTTTTATGGGACGTTACATATGTATAACGATATGTCAATCACATTGAATGGAAATGGCTTTAAATGGAATCACGTAATTGTTGGATGGGTTTCGAGTGTTGTTACGTCGACGGCGCAGGTAGGAGCGTGCGTGGCGCGGGAAAGTGCTGCGCAAACTGTCTTGTGCACGGCCGGTGCGCAAGCGCTGGTGCCACCAGACCGGCCGCAGACGCCGCACCACTTTCATTGTGTATTTAACTACAAGATGCAGACTCAGCGGTATTGTGATTACACACATCGGGTGTTGCAGGCTTCTTTTAGGTTACACCAATTTTAAATCACGACTAATTTAACTTAACTTGATTACGATGATTAAATGTACTAAGTGGATAGGAGTGCGTAGTATAATTTCAAATTTCGATGGCTTTCTAGAATAGCGATCTACCTCTAAATACTTAATTCGTAGCGAAAATGCTTTAAAAAGATCTAAGGCTGAATCGTATGTTAGCCTTATATTGTCAAGCGAATATTTTAACTAATAGAAAACTCGGTGTCCTACACACACAATCAAATTTATTACATTCTTAATAATGCTATTTAATACGTATTTATACCTATATTTTGAATTGGGTTAATTTTAGTATTTTTTATACATACATAGACACGCTTTACCACAATCTGACATATGTTAACGCGTCTCTCGTCCTACTGACGACGTGCATGTATTTGTTTAATTTTTGTTAATTGTTAAATTATTTTCGTATTTTGATAAAATATAAGTATATTATATAGTATAATAAGTATATTTTTGATACAAAGCACTGTCTAGAGACAAAGTGTGAAAGACAAAAGGCATTAAGATTCTACGGTATAAAAATTGTTATGGAAATCATCCAGAAACGAAAGGTTTTCAGAGACTTTGTGATCTGGTGGCATACCTTAAAACGGCTATCATAGTATCTAGGCTTGAATAGCCCTAAGTTGTGCTTTTGGGGAGAACTTGTGGGGAGAACTCCTTACACCGTCATCCCACCTTTTCGTATCGCTTCTCTCCATTCGTATCGTATCGTTTTTCTTCTTCACTCATATTTAAATTTAAAATTTTGAATTGTTCCATTCTTTCCCTCGTTGTTTCGTTCCATCGTCACTATCTGCGCGATCGCGGTAGTGAAAACATCTAATTTATTATTTTTGAACCGTTTACCACTTACTTAAATCTCTTGTACACCGTTTACATTTTAAGATATTAATATTGTCGTACTGAATAAATTCCTATAAACCGGACTTTCTTCTTTTCAACTGCTAAAACTTGCTTAGTAAGACGCATGGCGGCTGCGGGGGCTGCGGAGGCTATTACTAACTTGGACCAAGCTATATTACTGCTATCCAGGCTATTTTTACAGTCTACAGAACGCCACCAGCACCAGCAGCGCTATTACAAACTGTTTCTCCCCAATTCAGCCCGTAGTATATTCCATTCCATACTATTATTAAACGGTAGCCTTTTCTTCTTGTCGTATCGATGGCATATGCTATTATTTGCTATAGTAGGAAAGGATTTACCTATCGGCGTACAATATTCGTTGATTCGTGCTTGAGACGTACACAAAAGGAATGATATGTAAAGGTACCAATTTGTATTTTACTTGACTTCACCTAGTGGTCATGTTTTTTACGATCTTTTAATGAGCGTGTAAGAGTAATTGTTTTATACTTAAATGATAGATTACCAAACTTTTTGGCCCAAAAAAGATAAAAAAAATGTCACCCCTCCACGATCACAAAATATAATTGAAAACACGTAAGTGTTTTTTATATTAACATGCACAAAAAATCACAAGGAAATAAATACATATTTGTAGTGTACTTTGTACAGATAATTCAGGTTTTTCTTTCCTTATGCGGTAGCACCACCGACACCGTACCAACGCTCCCCAATAGCTTCCGAGGCCCCTCTAAAACTCTTCAGCACTCAGGGGCGGTAGGGACCAATTTGCGAAATATGCCTTTTCGTAGCAGAAGAGCTTCTTGTAAAAGAGATCGTACCACCTTACGTTTTTCTGCCGCCAAGCGGTAATGTCAGCATTGCTGTATTCCGGTTTATATGCGTAAGGGTGCTAGTGAAATTACAGCCACATGGGACTTGTCAACTTATGTCTCAGGGTAACTGGCGCAGTGGCAGTGCCCCTCAGATCTTTGCGGTTTGAAGCTCTGAGTGGCACTGCAACTGTTATGGACAGGTGTGTAACTTACCATTACGCGCACGACTTGTTCGTCCGGCCACTTGATATTATAAAAAAATAATATACTCGCAAAACGTTACATTAGCCAAATGCGGTTGCAGTTCCTACAGTTAACAAGGTGTTGCACATCACAGCTGTATCGCACGCAATGCAACACACGTACACAAACACTGCTGGCATATTTTCGCCGATAATTCGAGCATCGAATGGAAGAAGCATATAATTCACTCAAGAGGGACGTCACTTCCGTCCGCATATTTGTTAAGTTTAAATAATACTGTTATTTAGGTACTCTGATGTAGTTGGTCGTTCATGACAGAAGTAAACATGTTGAGTTTTTTAAAGTTTTAGAAAATACTTGTACCGAATTAGTATGGAGCTTGGTATGAAATTCCCAGAAAAATTTAACCAGACTCATCTTTTTGCTCGATATACTTAAGCTTAAAATAAAGAGTTTAGCAGAATAATAATAAAACTTGTGACCTTACATTTATTTGAATTAATTTAAACAAAAACAAAAGTACAGTAGACATGTTTAATTAAGTACCTGCAACACTACGATACTAAAAAAGTCTAAAAACTTCTAATATAGATTGCTACAAGAATATTTGTTTTAATAACTTTTCACTTGGAGAGGATGAAGAAAAAATATTAGGAAATTTTCACCCATTTATTTAGGTAGGCAAAGGTTTCACAATACAGCCTCTTCATAAAAATTATATCCTTCCGCAACAAGAATAACATTTGACATCTGGGGGCCTATTAAGAGCTCTTAAAGCAATCCTGTTTAACTGAAAAAAATGTTAACGATTTTCTCTAAATTGTAGTTAAAAAAAATTGCTTTTATTTCATAATTTCTAGTTTTTGAGAGCTCTTCACAAAAAACCAACCAGATGGCCCGGTAAAACTTTTCATTTATTTTAGCACCACTAACGGAATAAACTGTTCTCCCCATACACGCTTTATTATGTGGGCACATCTCCTAGAAGGGCTAAATTCTCTGACAGCGGTAGTCGAATTTTTTTTTCTTAATTTCAGAAAAAACATTGAGCGGGAAGGAAAAGCAACTCAAACTTACATAAGATTCCGTTAATTGGGCAACCAGATTCTCAATAGTTATTTACATATTTGATCCGCCGAATTCAGCTACACCGAAGTCAGGATTTAATAACAAAATTCATAATTTTTGTATAAAATATTATGAAAAAGGCAATATAAATCAGGCTTTAAAAACTAAGATTTATTTATAAATCGACCAGAACAACGCAAACAAATCTCATCTTATGACTATTAATTAAAATCAGTTTTCAGGTTGGCTGTTTAGCCTTTTTTTAATCACACAAAGTATTTCCGTACCTCTTTTTAAAAAAAAAATTAGAATATAATCTGTAGGTACAAAAGCAATAAATTTTTGAAAACTTGCCAGATTTAGAATAATTTCAAGAAAGAAAAGAAATTGAATATCAGAAGTAAAACATTACCGTAATAAGTTTTATCAACCTCACTTTTGCTTTTCTTGTGCAAGAGGAAATAAATGAAGCTCTCGTATGAAATAGTCAATGTATTAAGATGTATTGTCGCTAAAGGGCAAACTTTATTCTTATATCTATGGGGCAAACTAATTCGGTTAAAGGTTTGAACTGTTGCCATTCAAAAAATAAAAATAAGACATATAACTTGAGACCTTTCTTCAGAGTAATATGATTATGATGAATTTAGCTCGGCTAATACATTATAATCATAAAATCTTAGAATAATAACGCATAGAATGATAGTTTCATATCAAACGAACTGTCACAAGTGAGGCAAAAACCAAATTCATGTAGGCGTAAGCAACTTGTAACTACGCTCGTCGGCACGCACACAAATATACAAATAATGATGCCATGGAATAACATTTCCCTCAAAAGTGGGGAAATTGTATCTTGCTTAACTCATCATTAAGTTAAAGGTGCCTACAGATTTGCCCGACATTGTCGATCAGGTGCCTACAGATATGCTCGGTTTTGTCGATGAAAAACGAATATAGCACTTATTTGTAAATCCAAGATGGCGGACACGATTTTTCAAAATATGCTATATGGGTATCCTTTTCGAAGTATTTGGGGATGCTCATTACGAATATGGCACTCATTTCTAAATCCAAGATGGCGGACACGAGTTTTCAAATAAATGCAATATGAGTATCATTTTCGAGGTACTTGGGGGTGCTCATTACGAATATGGCACTCATTTGTAAATCCAAGATGGCGGGCACGATTTTTTCAAAAAAATGCTATGTGGGTATCATTTTCGAGGTATTTGGGGATGCTCATTACGAATATTGCTTTTGTTTGAACTGTCGTGTTTGCCATCTTGGATTTAGAAATGAGTCCCATATTTGTATTGAACATTCCCAAACATCTCGAAAACGTTACCCAACTTGCCATTATTCGAAAAATCGCGCCCGCCATCTTGGATTTAGAAATAAGTGCCATATTCGAAACCTAAAACCGAAAATGCCATAAGCAAACATTAAAGAAAATAACTGTTAAAATAGATTAAAAAATCGCTTAAGAATGCTCCCCTTTTAAGAAAATAAAATCGTCGGTTAAAAGGTAAAACTCATTAAGTGACATTTTGTTCAAAAACTAGATTTTTTCAATTTTGCTTTATTGGGAAGAACATCTATGACAAGAAAAATTCAGTAAGTCTGTGGTGTCCTTCATGTTTTAATACATACCAGTCCTTTAGTGATTTTTCATAATGAAAAAATACAAAATCTTAATTATCTCCCTTTGGCCAATTAGGCTATTAGTGAGTTTTACCTTTTAACCGACGAAATATTTTAATATAAAATATTTCGCTTGAGTTACGAAAAGAAAGACATATAATAAGCTATCAAAGTTGTACTGGTGGTGCCAACACTATAGTAGAAACAAATATATACTGTAAATTTGTTGCAAT